ACAAAAATTTCGGATGACGATGTTGGTGTCGAGGTTAGACAGACGGTCACGTCGAGAGTCGGGCGAGGAATCCACAACTCATCAATGCCGTCTTCGGGTTGGCTGCCTTGGAATATTGGCCGCTCTTATTGTTGATCTACTAGTGTGTCGTCGTGAGTAGTGGTAAGAGGTGTGAAGGGTGATTAAAAGCCCGGCTCGTCCCAGTCTCTGATGTTAGTTGTCTTTCCTTGGCAGGTGTCTTTTTTCCCTCCGGACCATCAGAGCCGCATTTCTTAGCATCAGCCTTAATCAGATCTACTATTACCCCTTTGGGTCAATCTCTGTTTAGACGAGGTCTTGGCTCGCGGCAGCGCGGAAACCACCAACAACATGCACGGAGTCAATCTTGCCCCGAAGATTTCGGGCAAACACAACCCGGACAGCCAAAATGAAGCTCACGTCGAGAACCTCGCCAACGCACTTCCTGGTGTGAACGAGAAGGACGCTGCCGCCATCGCCGCGGCTGGTGGTTGGGAGGTCGATGCCTTCATCGACAGCATGGAGCGGGAGTTGGAGGCTGCTGGTGGTTTGAAGAAGGGCTTTTTCCAACTGGAGTTCACCAACACCAAGTACTTCACCTGGCTCATTGTAGCCTTCGCCTCAATGGGTGGTCTTCTCTCCGGCCTCGATCAGTCCCTCATCTCTGGTGCCAACCTCTTCCTCCCCGGTGACCTCGGCCTCACGACCCGCCAAAACTCCCTCGTCAACTCTGCCATGCCTCTCGGTGCCGTCGGTGGTGCCATTATCCTCAGTCCCTCGAACGAATACCTCGGCCGAAAGATGTCCATCATCATTTCTTGCATCCTTTACACTATTGGTGGCGCACTTTGCGCCGGCGCACAGAACTTTGGTGAGTCAATTCGCATATCATTCCACTTCTGCATGCCGGGCATAGCTAACTTGTCCCAAAGGCATGATTGTTTCTGCCCGTGTTATCCTCGGCATGGGTGTCGGTCTCGAGGGTGGTACCGTCCCTGTCTATGTCGCCGAGACCGCCGAACGCCGCATCCGTGGTAACGTCGTCTCCCTATACCAGCTCAACATCGCGCTCGGTGAAGTTCTTGGCTACGCCGTCGCTGCCATCTTCATCCACGTGCCCGGCAACTGGCGCTGGATCCTCGGATCATCCCTTCTCTTCTCCACCATCATGTTCGCCGGCATGCTCTTCCTGCCCGAGTCCCCTCGTTACCTGATGCACAAGGGCAAGACGCTCGAAGCTTACAAGGTGTGGAAGCGTATTCGTGGCACTTCTACTCCTGAGGCCAGAGAAGAGTTCTTCGTCATGAAGGTCTCTGTCGTCGACGAGAAGCAGCAGGTTTCCGAGGGTGCCAAGAACAAGCGCTTCCCCTGGATGGATTTCATCACCGTCCCCCGCGCCCGCCGTGCTTTGGTCTACGCCAACATCATGATTCTTCTTGGCCAGCTTACTGGTGTAAACGCCATCATGTACTACATGTCCATCCTCATGCAGCAGATTGGTTTCAACGATGAGAAGGCTACTTATATGTCTCTTGTCGGCGGTGGCTCTCTGCTCATCGGTACCATCCCCGCCTGCTTCTACATGGAGAAGTTCGGTCGTCGCTTCTGGGCCAACACTATGCTTCCCGGTTTCTTCGTGGGCTTGGTGATCATTGGCGCCAGCTACCAGATTCCTACTGATACTAACACCACCGGTGCCGTGGCCTGCTACCTCATCGGTTTGGCCCTGTACATGGGCTTCTTCGGCTGCTACGCTTGTCTCACTTGGGTTGTTCCTTCTGAGGTCTACCCTACCTACCTCCGATCCTACGGCATGACCACCTCATCTGGTCTGCTTTTCCTGTCTTCCTTCATTGTCACCTACAACTTCTCTGCCATGCAGGAGGCCATGACCCGCACTGGTCTCACTCTCGGCTTCTATGGAGGCATTGCCATCTTGGGATGGTTCTATCAGGTAAATTCTTCCGCTTCCATGTGATATCATAACGCAGACTAACAATCCATAGATGATCTTCATGCCCGAGACCAAGGACAAGACCCTTGAGGATATTGATCGTCTTTTCGAGAAGCCGACTAGCGAGATCGTCGCCATGAACATGAGGAACAACGCTCAAGCTTTCGGCAACTTCTTCATGGGTCGCTGGGGCAGCAAGGCGCAACAGCCCACTCGCGAACTCGAGGTTGAGGAGAAGGGCAAGGACATTGCCGCCTAAACTCTTCCAATGTATTTTATGTATAATGAATTGGCTGCAGCCGAGATAGATACCCTGATACTGAATAATCCAAGTGTTTTGAGACCTTGACCGTCAGTGCCGTTTATCTCTCTGAGAGCGCAGATGCCAACCCAATATTGCCCCTCGCTCCTCAATTTGACCACACATAATTCCGCCTATCCGCCAGGCCGGGTCCGGACCCGACTTCGCCCCACGGCTTTGCAGGTCGAGTCCGCGACCCTGGAATTCATCGTGACATACCGAAGCTTGCTGTTAGGAACATGTCATTTTGAGCAATGTTTCACCACATGCTGAGGCAAGTAGGGCGTTATCAATACCCGTCCCATGGCGTTGATATCTTGTATTTTGGGATGGTAGAGCTAGGTCAAACACAGGAGCTAACCCCTATATCTCTTTCCCTTAAAGTTGTCAGAGCAGGAGCCAGGCCTCTGAGCAAGAATCCAAAATTTGACTGTGTTCAGATGAAGGGCTTCCATTGTCCCTCGCACCACTCCCAGAACTTGGTCGTATAACCAAGGCCCCCTTCCGTCTCCGGCTTCAAGGCCTTCACGATATCCTTTCTTGGAATATCTTCGTCGATGCGAATGCGGCCCCAGGGGATAACGTACGCGCCATTATTATCAAGCGAGATATTGGGGGATAGGCCTGCGTACAACTCAGTGTACGCACCAAATTTTGTCTCGTACAAGAAGGGAGTGATGAAGAGCATTGAAAACGCCGGGACCCCGTCATAGGCGCCAGCTTTCAAGTTACCAGGGTTCTGAACGACGCTGACAATATTGTCAGAACCATAACGAGAGGCCATCTCGCGGCCGAGAAGCCAGTTACCAAACTTGGAGACGGCATAGTTCAGCGCACGATCAGGCGTGCCCTCTGCGAGATGGTCAAAGTCGATGCCATTCTCGCCAGTTGACAGTTCCGCCATGAAACTCGCAGTCCAGACAACACGCACAGAGCCTTTTGGAGCGTCTCCCGCCGCTGCTCGGAGTTGGGGAAGGAGGAGGTGGGTAAACAGTTGCGCAGCAATACAGTGCATGCCAACCATTGGCTCGAATCCTTGCTTCGTTTTGGCGCCTTCTTCAACTCTATAAGCGCCTGAACCAGCATTGTTCCAGAGAACATGGAGCTTTGGTTCTTGTTGCGTAAAGGTGGCGGCGGCTGCTTTGACGCTTTCCAGATCGTTTAGATCAAAGGGAAGGAAGACTATGGTGCCGGGAGTTTCGGGTGCTGGTGTGGCGGTCGTGATGGTCTCTATCGCTTTCTCGGCACGTTCCTAGATCAGTGGTAAGTCTTGTCAGTCTTCGAACGGTTACAAGACTCATACACGAGGCCCGTATACGCCTTAATCATGAAAAAAGAGTTGAAGACACTTGAGGTAAGATAGCACGCAAGTATCACGGACGTTGGCAATTATCCGAAGCTCAGACATCTATCATATTGCCCTTATAATGAGAGTATGAGACTCACCTTAGATCGCGATGCCATGTATATTTTAGCCCCAGTTGCATATAGCATCTTGACAAGCTCAAACCCAATACCATGGTTGGCGCCCGTGACGATGAACACTTTCCCTTTCTGAGATGGGACGTGTTGCTCGGTGTAGGTTGGCTGTGGAGGAAACCACTGAGAGAGCAGATTGCGCATTCCAGCAAGAGACATGATCGCTGATTTTCGCTATGTCAGTCTGATATCTCACAGCTCAATAATGTTACAGTTGTACGCAGCGGATATGAAGTTGTGATGGTCGGATACCGTCCTACTGCTCTGGAAACGTCAGTGACAAGAACGAGGGACCAGCATATATTTATGCACCCGAGGTCCGATAGCCCGCTCTTCGGCTGACGGCTTGAAACAAGCTGGGTGACAAAAGTACTTTCATGATGGCTATGTTGGTGCCACCAAGCTGAGTGGCCTGTTTCTCTTTATTTGCGCAAGCGATACGGTCCTGGGGCATAGCAGGCGGAGGACACCCATGCTCTGTCAGACGGAATTTCACAACTTAAGGTGCTTATCTCTGCACCTCCTGGCTACTTGAATCGTCATGCTTACTAGCTAACAATTCATTCTTCTCATTATTGGACAGTTTTACGAATGACTAATAATATGAAAGGGGGCTTTGACGATCACCCCTGTAAGCCCGCCAGGGTTTGGGCGGACTTTTGACCAGAAACTAGACGTTTCCCACCCCAGTGTTTGCTGTCAGACTTTTCTCAGCGCTAAGATCTTACTATGATCCAGTGGATGGAGAATCGTCGACTGGAAAAGCGCAAATAGAAGTTTCGCTCCTTCGCACTTCGTCTCTGTCATGACTCCAAGTTCCAATATGCCCAAGTAGTCTATATACTTTAGGTAATCGCATCAGTCACATGTACGGACCTTAATCTGCGCTCTAAGATGCCAAGCCCGTGAGCGCCAAATACGCTTACCGTTTGGCCAGTTTCGCGTTATCAATCAGCCGTGAGGCAAAAGATGGTCACCCCCACACGTGGGTAAGGTGAGTTTGCTACGCCCCTGTCCTGCAGGGAAGGGGCCACGAAAATACTACCTTAATATGTGTTCCTACGTACGTGCCTCCTAGTAGCTCTCTGGACGAGCCCAGTTTCTTATCAGTCATGACATTCAGGCAAATTTTTCTTCTTGACCTTTCTCACTTGACCCCGCACATGATGTCGTGTCAAGAATTCTCCTAGTCAACATCTACTTTACCACACATCTAACCGCGAACGCGTTCTACCTCACGTCGCTATCATGGATACCACCATTGCCCTCGATGCCGTAGGCCTCATTTTGAATGCAACGAGATGCATTTCGGCGATCATCTCGGCGTTCCAAGTTACTGAAAGCCGAAGTCGCAACAATGAAAAAGTCGATTTGAGCACTGTCACAGGGTTGAAACTCGCTCTAGCAGAGAAACAGATGCTCTCGGGGAGTGATTCCCGGCCTTTAGACAATTCGATTCCGCTACAGGATATATCTTCCTCTCGAGATGCTTGCATCGCGCTTTTGGAGAACATGGAGTCCAACTTACGACGGGCTTCCGAGAGTACAACAGCCGAGACAGACATGCGGGACTCCGCGTACTACGAACGTGAAATTGATCGCCTCAACACTACGGTGACGCGCCAAGTCACTGGCTTACTCAAGTACGTAGTGCGAAGACCATATCATGACAACATCTGACTTCGTATCATAGCTCTCGTCTATCCCAATTAAGCCAATCCTTGAAAGTACTGGAGACTCAGGGGCGGTATGCTCGACCAGAACAGGAATCCCAGGTTGACGTTATGTCGAGTGACCTGGAAGATCTGAGATCGCAAACGAATAGACAGCTCACGGATTCATATGCAAGCTACTCGGAGGCCGAAGTCAAACAGTTGAAGGTCTTGCTCACAAGACTGACTAAGTCAGAGGATGCCTTACTCGCCGACACAATTGTATCGAGTCTGAATTACACCAGTCGACCTGCTCGTCTTGATTCTATCCCGCAGGCTCATCAGGATACATTTCAGTGGGCATTTGACTCTCGATTATCAGATTGGTTTGTCTCCGGAAGTGGAACCTTTTGGGTCTCGGGCAAGCCCGGGTCTGGCAAGTCCACTTTCATAAAGTTCATTGCCAACCATCCTCGGACGAGAGAGTTGCTGGAACGCTGGGCAGGCTCATCCAGCTCACTAGCTATTGCGTCACATTGTTTCTGGATCGCTGGTACGCCGATCCAGAAATCATGGCAAGGGCTTCTCCAGTCTCTACTCTACGACTTACTACATGGACACCCAGACGTTGTATCCATCGCCTCCCCTCATCGATGGGCGGCAGCCAAGGCCGGAAGATGGCAGACCGCTGCTGAACCCTGGTCTGTGTTCGAGCTGGCTGCTGCGTTGCGATCGTTATCAACAGCTGATCACGTCCCTCTGAAGATATGTTTCTTCATTGACGGGCTTGATGAGTACGACAGCAATCATGCTGAACTCTGCCAAGTTCTTCTTGACATGGCTAAGTCTCCGCATATAAAGATGTGCCTCTCCAGCCGTCGATGGCCCGTCTTTGAGAGGAGCTTTGGCCAAGAGGACCAAGAAAGCCTTGATATTCATGAGCTGACGAAGGACGATATTCGAAAGTTCGTGTATGATCAACTGAGGTCTGATCCCCGCTGGAGTCTCGACACGTCTGCAAACGCTTCCTTGGAGCAGGCTGGACTCGTCGATCGAATCGTGGCTCAGGCCGATGGTGTATTTCTCTGGGCTTTCTTTGTTACGCGATCTTTACGAGAGGGTCTTTCTAATGGCGAGAGGTTGGAAGATCTGGCGGCACGCTTCAGCCGACTACCCTCAGACTTGGATCATCTATTCCAGCATATGTTGGACAGCGTGAATCCTGCTGATCATCGTGTAATGGCGGGTATTCTTCTAGGCGCTATTCATGCACTGGAGCCGCTTCATGTCGACATTTACTGGCAATTGGAAAGAGAACTAGAGGATGTCAGGCCTCCTTCTGAAGAGACGAAAGCACTCAACCCCGACCAAAATGTTGTGCTGCGGAGAGAAAAGTCCAGTCACAGCATCAATGAGAAGACAAAGGGACTACTCAAGCTTGTCAACAACCGGGTCGAGTTTCTTCACAGGACCGTAAAGGACTTCGTCTCAACAAAAGATATCGGCGGGTACCTCCAGGGAAAGCTTCCGGCTGGCTATAATGGCTTCATATCCATTGCTGCTGCATATCTCGGGTTTCTTAGAGCCACACGCCAAGATAATTCGCTCGTCGCAGACATTATCAGGCAGGGGCGAGGGTTGAACAGCGGTCCATTCGTTGCGCATCTGAACCAAGCCCTGCTTTACGCGTCCGAAGCGTTGAAACAGACAGAGCAACCTGGTTCCAGCCAGAGTCGGCAGGTCGAAGAGCTCTTGGATGAGTACGAGGCATCCATCGTGAACATGGTCAGGCTCGGTCAGTTGACTATTAGAGGGGTCAACTCTGGCGGGTACGATCCGAGAATCTTGTTTCGCGAAGAGCTCCTCCGACATGATCTGGCACCTTACCTGGCAAAGAAGATTCGGCAGATGCCAGATTTCTTCGATGTCTTCGATGAGTCGCCTTTGTACGCAGCCCTGATGCCCATGTCTCGCAGCAGTGGCGAAAGTGCTGCGCCTGCAATGGAAGTTCTCGAGATCCTACTACGCCGTGGAGAGGATCCAAACTCAACTCCGAGAGAACTGGGCATTGTGAGCGATCTTGATGCACCTTCGCCATGGGTTGCGTTCTCTCGCAGCACCATGTCTGTCTTCAACATGCTGTCAGGGCCGTGCATGTTCCCTGCTAAACGATGGAACGACTCCCTGAAGAATGCCACCTTTAGCCGCTTGCTGTCTCACGGCGCGGACCCCAACAAACATCTGCTGGACCGCCCAGGAGCACGCACTGTCTTCTCACACTTCTTGGATATTTCCTTGTCCAAGTTTCTCGGCGAAGAATGCTTTGAAGACTATCCAAGAACTCTCGATGCATTTCTACGAGCAGGCGCTAGTCTGGGTGTGCCCGAGCTGAGCAGGCAGGATGGGTCAACGGCAGAGGCTGCGTTTGGGAACTTAGCGAGAAGACACCCAGAAGAGTCGATTCTAGCGTCATTCTGCAACGAGCTCAAGGGCCTCACGGCAAGATTGGCAGCTGACCCGCCTAGAGCGACGTTTACCATGTCAGTATTGGAGAGGCTCATACAGCACTGCCGCGGCAGAGAAGAAGACCTAAGCGAGCTGAAGTCGGCTATACTTCAGGGCTGCCCCGCGCATGTCAGTGAACCCCTAGTCCAGATGATCGCTTCTGAGATGACTCGTCATCCCGGACGAGGATCTGAGCTGGAAAGATTTCCAAAACGACTGAGGCGATCATAACATGCTGAAAATGCGAGCAAGTAGCTCGAGCCGAGACAACGAGTGGGAATTTATTGTGTCTCATCTGTGTCGCGCGATCGAGGTTTGGAGAGTCCGTTTTCCTGCTCTGTGGAATTAGTCTTTACTTACAATAGTTTGATCGCGCTGTTGCTCTTAATTTGTGGCTACCAATGCAAGCTGTAGATGAGATGTCATTGAAAATGCATGTTGATGTCTCTCGTTTGATCACGAGTTCACTGATTACCGTCGCTACTGAGACCTGCTGTTGCTTCAGTGCCACCTGTCCTGTGTGAAACCTTGACATCTGTTAGATCAGTGTAGAAGAGAGTAATTTACGGGGTTCTGAAAACTAACAGGGTTGCCCAAACACCTTTTAAGGGCGGGGCACTACTTACTTTTGTTAGATCAGTGTAGTCGCCTCCATTAAAGCCAACGTTCAGGCCATCAGAGGCCGGCTTCTCTGCTCAGAGAACACTGTATGTAGACTGGTCTCCTATCTGGCGCGCAGAGCTATAGGTAACTCGGACCGACCCTATTTGCCCTGCATTCTTCCAACACTATTCCAACCGCATTGCGACCGTCACATCTATGTAGATCCTGGGGGCATAACAAAGTGTTTCGAAAGTTGGTCTCAAGTCGTGGGGAGGCCCCTATTACCACCGCCTGGGACTGCCCAGCTTTGCATTCCCCGCACAAGTCGCAAAGATCCTGGATCTATTGCCCCTTGGGACGCTCAGTCAACGACCATACGCTATAAGCATCCTGGTTCAACGATCCTCACCTCTGAAACTACACTAGTAATTCGGCTATACCGAGCACACCTCAGCTGTCAAGTCCTTGCACGGGTGCCAATGCCAGGGCCCGGCCGCTGTCATCTAAAGTCCAAGAAGCTCGACGATCGAAGCTGAGAGACAGGGACTACACGAGTGTGAAATTTCATTGCGAGTTCCATTCTCGTGCTAAGTGAGTTTTCAAGAGCCTTCTAAGGTCTGTTAACGCACATTATTTTGGTCCTTCCACTGCGATCACTTTCCATCAAGCCATCTGGCCTTGAGGCGTTTGATGCGCGACCTGTGCATTGCCAGACTCCGCAGATGCCTCAATTGCTCTACAAGAACAAACCTGAAAGATGAGTTCGTCACCAGAGAGCTAAAGTCAGACGTATGGCATCGGTCATGAATCAGCTGAAGTTGCAGTTCATGTTTGGTGTCCAGAGGATATGAGCGTAATAGGTCGACATTACATCCATAGCCATATTAAGCATAATAATAAGTCCGGACAGCTGCGACGTTTCGAGTCACCAACGTCGATCACACGATGGAACACAAGGTAAGCTTGAAGCCAAGCTTGCTGCTCGCCGGTGGGATTGGCTCGTATATTAAACACGAAATTCGGCGCACATCATCATTTGATCATCACTTCAATTCGCGATCATATCAATACTCTCGCAGCCTTCTATTCGATTCACCTGTTGCCGGCCAACTCAATTTTCAGTTTCTAATCTAACCGCCAAAACTTTCCACAATGCAGTTCAGCAACTCCTCCATTTGCATCGCTCTTTTCGCCATGAGCACCCTCGTGGCCGCAGCCCCCGTGAGTAGGATCCTCATTGCGACAAGAACCGTCAAGTCAATATTTGTATCGAAGCTAACGCGAGCGTAGCAAAACAACGCCCGCGAGAAGTTTAAGCAAAATAGCTGCAAGAGCCAGGCGTGCAGAGATTCGGTTGATGCTGGATGCCCTCTCAACTTCATTAATTTCAGCCTCGGTGGCTGCGATGACCCCAGCTTCTAATCGGTCTCGGACGGCGGCTTTCCCGCAATGGTACATGCTTGGGAGACAGATACCAGGTGTCACAGCGACTTAGATCCATGTAGTAACTGAGGCGTGAAACAGATATCTTCTCCCAACTTGATAGCCATAGACCTGACTGCCTCTCAAGTCTGAACTCTTCATTAAATATTCCTAGTGACTTGTGTTTGATATTTCCATCCCGCCTATAATAAATCTAAAGTCTCGTCAAGTTTACAGCAAGCTGATCAAAATGATGGCTCTGGACACAACGAGACGGCCTGGGACATCTGGCGTTATGACGAATTTATACCAAAGTACTGTAATGTGCATGCCGGATGCTTGATGTGATTTCAGCTCCTGCTAGATATGTTACGCATCAAAACTAAAATATGTGCAGTGTTACAAATTGCCAACCCAACTATAATGGTGTATAAACGCTTAAGCAAACTCAAATCAGATGGAAATTCCCAAACTCTCAAACGCCAGCATCCGCTCGTACAACTTGGTCAATTGCCTCTGCAACTCTAAACACATTCTTGCTATTCACTGTTGACAAAATTAGTACGCATTTCATCAAAAGGGACAATATTGGGCTCGAACTTACATCCCGATATGGACGCTCTCCCCGTTGACAAAAGGTAGATGTGGTGTTTCTCCCTCATCGTCTTTACTTGAGAAGCTGTGAGACCAGTGTAGGAGAACATGCCGATCTGATCGATGATATGTCTCCAAGAGCCAGGTGTGCCTCGCTTCGTAAGCTCGACGAACAGAAACGCTCGCATGCTCTTGACGCGAGCGTTCATCTTCCTCAAGTCCTGGCGCCACTCCCTTGTGAGTTCAGGATCGTTGAGAATTGTTGATACAATGCGTGCACCCCATGCTGAGGGAGTCAGGTATTCAGAGCCGATAAATTGAAGCAGGTTAGACTTGATGGCAGGCACCGCGGCAGAGTCATGAGCGAGGATGTGGAGAGCGCCAACTCTATGGCCGTAGAGACCGAAGCTCTTGGAGAATGACTGAGCGACCAGAACTTCCATCGTTCCTCTGCCGACGAAGTGACGGACGGCCCAAGCGTCGTGGTGATCATCGCCAGATGCAAATCCTTGGCTAGAGAGTACTAGTCAGTAACGTTCAAGGCTGAAGTTGGATCAAAAGTAGGACAGTACTCACTAGGCAATGTCCATGAATGGGATGATGCCGAGCTCTTCGCAAATGTCGGCAATGATGTTCCATTCCTTCTGTGTTGGGTCGCATCCCGTCGGGTTATGGGCGCAGGCTTGCAGAATAATGATGTCGCCCGGTTGGGCGTCTCGTCTAAGCGTCCTCACCATACCTTCCAAATCGATCGACTTGGTTTTGTGATTAAAGTATGGATAGAAACGGCGTTGAGTCTTCGGTGAAGCATTCTCCCAGATTTGCTCATGGCTTGCCCAGGATGGATCTGAGATCCAGACGTTCTGAGGTCTGACTGCCTTGTCTAAGAACAAGGCTCCCATGTGAATGGCTCCGGACCCAGCAATTGTCTGTACAGTGGTCAAGCGACTCTTGACAGCCTCGAGGACATCTCCAAGGAGTAGTTTTCTAGCAGCTTCGATGAATGTTGGAAGCCCGGCAACGGGTAGATAATCGTGGTTGTCTTGGATCTGCGCTTGTGCCTACACGTCGAGTAGATTAGGGTTAGCATGAGGCTCAGTAGCGATGTTTGATCGTTTTGGATAATACGCCACCTTTTTGACGGACGGCAATGTCCAAGGCTGTGCATCGTCGTCCCTGTAGACGCCAAGACCGAGGTTGACCTTATCCGGCGTGGGGTCTGCTGCAACTGACTGCATGACAACGAATGCTTCATCGTAAGGAGCCTCAATTAGGCTAGAAAAGTGCGACTGCACAGCTAAAGAACCCATTGTTGCAGTAAAGTGTGATTGGTTTTGATCAAAGTGTTTACAGGAAATGGTAATTCTTGCTGTTCAGGAAGGGTGGAATCTCATCGTTCTTATGTTTGCCTCCAATGCTGAGGTCCGAACGCCGAAAGTGCGTGAACAAGGCCTGTAGGGCGAGCAAACAATTGTCATTTTGGGCCCCGACCGCCGAACGTGACTGCCGGCCCCAGGGATGTGACAGAAACAAATATTGATGACATCTGTTGGTCGAGATCTAGGGCGATTGGGTTCACGATGCAAGGATTGGGCCACACCGCCTGCCTGACTTCCTTTTGCCTGGCAAGGGGGGAAGTTGCTTTTCCCAAGGGTCCGCTTCACTTTGCGGACTCGCGGAAGTAGGCACATCTTGTCCGATCCATGGTCATGGGATTCTGCCAGAAAAGCAAACATTTCTCATATTGACTCTAACTCACTGCGGTAATGACAGCCGTCGCTAAACTTACTCTAGACACGAAATTTTGCGAGACACTTGAGATCTTTTCCCGCGTACCTGGTTCGAAAAGTGTTCAAATCAGGAGATTGTGCCGGAGTTGTCGGCGCAGTTGAAAACTTTCGAAATCAACCCCGATGCATACGCGTCCTTGATGGACACGGCTACACTGTATCTGTTGCCTACTCAGTTTTCGTTCTTCGGGAAAGGAATATGATATACTTACGTTCCGGCGACCACCATGAACAGGCCCACAAGGACGACGAAAACGTGAAACCCGTACATTGCTTTCTTTGATGCACCTCCCTTTCTGTACGACGAAAAGTCCTGCATCCACAACAGAGCTGGAAAGATGAGACTGAAGGGAGCAAAGCATAGAGCGCCCGCGAGTCCGAGAAGATAGTTGAGGATGGGGACGGCTTCTGCCACGATGAAGGCCAGAATACCCAGCGTCATGTTGCTGCCAATCCAGGTTGTCCAGTGGATGACGGTGTTTGCCTGCAGATGTTGCGAATCTCTCAGGATGCGCACAAAGAGGTATTTCGCCGCCACATGTTGGTAGATACCGACACCGATAATCAGACCAGGAAGCGCAACACCATACGATATCTTCTTGAACAAAGGGCCAGCGCTTCCAAAAGCAGGAGTCGCGAGCCAAACACCACACCACCGGTAAATAACCAGTGAAAATGAGAGATACATCGCCAAAACGAGAACACCGGTCACCAAAGCAGCCTTTCTGTACTGATCCGGACGACGCATCTCCGAGATGATTGGGAGATACATGGAGGAGCCACTGTTGCTGATAAAGATGTTTGCGCTGGCGGTGATACCAG